GGCTCGCGGTTTCTCAGCGTCCAGGTACATTTGCAAAGTGAAAAAAGAAGTGTGTGCAATAGCACTTCGCACAGAAAAGACATTAAAAAAGAAAAACGTATGGCGATTACAATTTTTACAACAGCTTTGGGTGCAATTCTTCTTCAATTTGAGATAGATACATGTTCAAGTCCAACGGATTAGCTCCTACGGTGCTTAAAAAACAAGTGCTTACACTTTGGAATCGTTACGAAAATACAATAAAATACGGCTATTTTGTTGTACTTTTGTGTTGATTTCTTTTAGGTGCATGACCTTATCAGTGTGAAAATTGTCGTCGATGCATTGGGTCGATATTTTTTTGCCTGCTGCATTTACGTTTGACGACATCTAGATTTGATCACAATGATCAATCTGTTGTACGTGTACAATCTATTATGTCCTGATTGTGGGTAAGGGGATTTGTTTGTATCTCTGTTTTAAATATATTGTTCGGGCCTGCTTGTGTCGGGTCTGTGTTTCCAATGTTCCGTTCATATATTCTTCACAGCTATTTTACACCAAATGAACTCTTTTCTTCTGAATAGTTAGATATTCTTTCGCCTTGATGTCATATTGTGATAAGCGTTATATGTGTTTAATTAAATATCTACTATAAATGATAAATAGAAATGTTTAAACAGTATCTGTAGGAAAGGACAATTCCGACACACCCTTGACATGCTGTAACACCAGCAGTTTATATAGTGCCGGTAGATACATTATATACTGAACAACATTAGAAACGCACCTCTCATATAATACGAAATATCCCCGTCAGACTGAAATGTACCCATGATATCTGAGCATTTTAGTGTGGTGCGTTGCTAATGTTGTTCAGTATATAATTATAAAATGATAACAAGTATGGCTTTATGCTGCATCTAACACTGTTCTAGCACTGCGCTTGCTCTGTTCTAGCACTATTTAAACACTATTCAAGCACTAGGATCAAGCAGTCGGGGCACGAGAAATGTACCCACGCAGAGAATCAAACCTAGACCTTTTTCGTAAGCGAGCATTACCAGGAGACTAAGCAAATGCAACCAACTGGTTGACGTTACAATAAAGGCAGTTGATCGAGCCCCACTGTTAAGTTATACTTTCATCATTGCCACAGACAAGGATGTGTAGTTTTGGGAGATTTACCGTTGTTTTACTAGCTTCAATGTTTCCGATAAGGACTGTGCTCCTTGACGATAAAGGTTCAGCTACAATATTATCAAACAAGCAGAGGAATCTATTTCAACCGCCGGTTAAATGATCAAAGAACGACTCCACGGGCGGTCTCCGGAGTCCGACAATGACGAATATTGTTGAATGTTTATGGCTATTTCTTCTGGTACTTTGGCCATATTGTGGAAATTAAAGGTTAAAGGAAAACAAGAAAGATCTCCCGTGTGGACTTTTATGTTTTCGATAAAACATACTGGTGATTTCGGATATGAAATGTCTCTCCGAGTGAACAATCAAATGATGCTTGTTCTTTACAGGAGGGCTTTTCATATCACGAAAAACTGAATTGTGCATGCTGCATTAATCGCATCCACTTAATTTCTGTTTTATATTAATGAAACTTCTGCTGTAATAATTATAGCGATAATGATAATAATAATAACAGTACTTTATTTGCATGGCCCTTATCCATGCTTGATATTCTCATCAAAGAAACAAAGAGCTCTGACCATTTGAGCAGCGTGCACTAGTTTTATATCTAAATATAAGCAACCTAAGCTGCATGTGACATTAACGACCATATCACCTCCACACGCTACCGGGTACCCATCCACTGCTGGATGAGACATATTTCGAACATAGTGACTTATCCAAGCAGAGCCCACGTGCGCTACATATGCTTCAGTGAAGGACAGGATCGAAGCCCTATGCTTGTACTAGCCCAGACTTAAGCTGGTTTTATAGTGCTAGCCCACTGAGATACCATGCCGCAGTGAAGCATGAATACCCCACTCAGACACATTATACTGACTCCGAGCCGACCAGTCCTTGTTGTACCCATTAATGCCGAGCGCCAGGCAGGGACCAACAAGTACCATATTTTAACGTCTTTTGTATGACGCGGTCGGGGATCGAACCCGCGACCTTCCGCTCTCCGGGCGGACACTCTAACCACTACACCACGGAGGCGGTCTCAACATCAAAGATAATGTTTAATGGAATTATGCTGGTTTTATACGTGGCGTCTCTGTGTCTAGTTGAAACAACAAAGGGATCATTACAGTACATGGACTATACATAGCTCGGTGTATGGTAACGTAGCCTTTCACCGGCAGGCTAAAGCAATTATATGGTCCTTCATTGGGATATGGATTTACTCAAGTTACCAAGAGCAGAATATTTTAGTTACTCATTGAAAGCATAAGTAAAACACTTAACTCAGTCAACTGTTTAAAAAATTATGTGTAGTGTTTCAACGCTGCGCTTTGCATGGCGTAACATCGTTCTATATAAACGCATTCTCAGCAAATGGCTCTCACGAAGGTAATGGAGCGATACTTTACGTTGTTGGTCATTTGGATAGCTAACGTTGAATGTAATCTTACTCGGTGTTCGTCCTATTCCTGTACATTGTGTCCGTTGGGAGACTCAGAAACCGACATGCAACGCACTGACACCCCCTCACGAAAGGTCATGTCAGACATTAGATCGACCACTCTCTCACACACACACACACACACACTAACACACTAACACACAGGGTACGATCTTTCCTTAACCGACTTTTAGTATCAACAATATTGGGAGTGCTCGGCTGCTTTTCATGACACAATTCATGACACAATTTTTATGTGCACTGTTGTACCCTTCAATTTATCTGATAATCCTCTTGTGGAGCATGTCAAGGCTCATGATGAACAAGGCATTCCACGGTTGTCTTAAACGATGTTGGAAGGAGGACATATGCTCAATGTCAGTGATGATGTTACTGATGATTCTGCTGGTACAGAAATGAATGTCAATCAAACGAAGTACCATGACAAATTGTAACGGGTTCAGGTACCAGCGAAATACCATCTGAACGACCACTGTATCGAGTTTACGTGCAGAGTGTTTTGAAGAACAGCAGGAACAGAAGGCTTCCTGTTTGCTGCTCAGGCCAGTCACTTCGTACTCGAGAACCAACAATGTGAAATGAATGTGATGAATGTGAAAAGACTGTACAAGACCTTTTCAGGGGATGTCCAGCGTTGCCACATACACATTATCTTAAGCGGGATGATGATGCGGCTCAATCTGTGTTACGACCAAGAGTATGAAGAGGGTGTCATGGAAAATAATAACCATCCATTTTTGTTCAGAGTAGACCCGCATAAAGCCTCAGACATATCCTGACCAACAAAGCCAACCATGTCGGTTTGTATTTAATCCACTGAAATCATAAAAATTCAGGAATATATCATAAATATATGGATCACTGGATTGTCTGAACGATTATTTACAGACCACCGTGATGATGAAGGAACATTGCTGAGCGTGGAGTTAAACAACAACGAAAAACAGAGAAGACTCGCTTACAAAATGTCACGCTTACACACCGGGTGCTAGGTTGTCCGACTCCCCATTGTTTTCGGTGCCTTGATTTGGTACTTCCCAATCTGTTGACTGACATTTGGAGATTATCCGGGTTTGTTGCCAGCGATACAGACCTGTCACCCTGAGTAATGCAGGCTGCGGTGTTGTTTCCTGGGGGTTCAACTAGGCAGCGCTTCCTGGGAGAAGCCCCATTTGCTGTCTGTGCTGCTTGTGGAGGGGTATCTGAGCTGATGATGAGCCAAACCAGTCCGACTGGGCCAGGATTACCCGAACTCCTTTGTTGCATTTCTTTATTTCTATCTGTACATAATTATCATCTATAAATAAAACTCATCTATAGACTTTCATGTAGCTCCTCAATAGGCTGTAGCTCCTCAATAGGCTGTAGCTCCTCAATAGGCTGAATAAAATATAAACCCGAACAAAGCACCCGAATTTCATTCTCACTTCCGTGGGAAGTATACAATCCAACAGACCCAGGAAAAGCACATTACCACCCCCTACTACCGATCCTGATTGGGTCAACAAAGTCTCATTTCGAAATATAATCGAAATACATACCTTGGAATATCCTCACCACAAGTCTTCTTCCTGGTGTCCATCAATCATGAACATTATTTCTCAACAATACTACAATCCTCCATCACAAACAAGCATTATTTAAGGAGTTTATCATTGTTTTATAACGGAAATCACATCACATCTCAATTTCAATGTCATTCACAATATGCCTCGACTAGTTTACTATCCATCCGTTTGAGACATTTGGCCTCCAGTGTGGCGAACCCAGCACAAACAATCATAAAGAACGACAACCCTTAACAACCTACTCGAGCAATCGCAATACCAAATGGATTTATGAACTAAGTAAATATTTATCTTTTTAGAATAAACACATGGGGTATGCCTAGCGCCTCGAGTCTGTGCATGTTCATGTGGATTAATGTAACTGGGGGTATTGATTAAGCTGAAGTTGGCGAAATCACATGTAATCATACGACCCTCATTGCCACCATAGAAGTCACGCTCGGATTTGTTTGCACTCGAGTTAAATCATCGAGGGCCCGTTTGGTACAAGCAACGTTAGAGGACTGAACCACTTCAGGACGTTTAGAAACTCCTTCGTACAGCAGTGTCATAGGTTTGATCTTTCACAACGTAAGGACCGTTAACTAAATGCCGAAAAAACGCCCGCAAGAGCTTCATAAAAAGGTCATGAAGCGGTTGGCATCATGTTGTAGATAACATAACCATTCCATCGATCTATTTTTTCGCTCATCTGTTGAGCGTTTAACCCCCCATTCAAAGTTGCGATGCGATTGCCAACATGCGGCCTTTATCACAGCAATCAATACAGAGAAGGCGTATAGAAATTAACTTTATGAGCGAGTGCCAAAAGTGAGCTCGGACGCAGAGCATCCACTGCCAGCCAAACTCCAACGTGCTTGCGTTTGTTTAATCATTTATGAATATATGTCACATGGGCATACTTCGGAACATTTCCTGATTTCGGATGATTTCCTTCTCTTGACAAAATGTAATTTATCTGCTGTGCGTTTATTTCATTATATATCACGCTTACGACAGTGGTGTCACTGAAAACCGTACGAGACAATCAGTACCGTGTTGGGGACCTGGCTAAACGTGTGCAGGACTGATTAGGTGGCTCAGTCCAGTATGCCACAATGTTAATATTTGCACACAATTTTCTGCTGTTTGACTTGGAACCGCTGGCTCCTCTCGCCCAATCGGCGTCCCATCACCGGCGAGTTCTGCTCAATGAACTTGGAAACTGACATAATCTAGACAGGACTGGCAGCATTTTGGGCAGCTTTGTACAAGTTCTACAAATATCCAATTACTTCCTTCATCCAAGCTATCTCGATGGTGCATGTGTGGATATTCGTACTCATCTTCATGTTTGGTATCATCCCCAAGGGCCAAAATTCATCACAAAAAGTACCCATTGGTAAGTACACAGATATTTCAGTTCATATTTCCTTGTAGAGACGGACACGCTTGTTCTGTCGGCGAACACCCGGTGTCATGGCACATTTTCAGTGATCCATTCACGATATTGTATCTAATGTTTGCCTCCCTGTGCCAGCGGATAATTGAGACTGAATATTTTCTGGCGTTGATATTTATGTGTTACATACTCTTCAATTAGATCAATATGTTATTGTATATACCAGTGTTGTATACCTTACAATGCTTACCATGGGTATCTTATCGAGACGCATAATTATGATGTTCTTATCGGTTGTATATAGAGGTATTACATTATGTGCAGGTTAACACGATTTGTCGATACAGCTGTGTCTCTTTACCTTCTTCGGTAACTGTCAACATGCAATGTTTGATCAATTTATGTATACTATGTAAAATGCAGGTGGATTGAAGGTTATTGAGGTTAACATTCAGTGTATGATATATAGGGATTAAATTTCCTTCGTCAGTATGAACTAGGAAAATGAATGGTGTGTCAATATTGGGTTAATCTAGAGCTTGTATATTGAATATTTGAAAGATCTTAACATTCGGTTTATGATACATAGGAATCATATTCCCTTCATCAGGATTAACGACGAATATATATGGTGTGTCAATTTTAGGTTAATCTAGAGGTTGGATAATAAATATTTTACAGATCTTAACATTCAGTGTATGATAAACAGGAATCACATTTCCTTCGTCAGGATTAACGACGAATATATATTGTGTATCAATATTAGGTTAATCTAGAGGTTATGTACTGAATATTGTATAGAGCTTAACATTCAGTGTATGATAAATAGGAATCATATTTCCTTCGTCATGAGTGAAAAGGAAAATATATTGTGTGTCAATATTAGGGTTGTTTAAAGGTTGTTTACTGAATACTGTATAAAACGTAACATTCAATGCATGATACACAGGATTTAGATTACCTCCGTCAGGATTAACACGGAGTGTATGTCCACAATCAGCTTAACGAAGAGGTTATCATATATTGCTTTTTTAGAGATATTATCATTCATTGTATGGTGAATATGAATCGGATTACCTTCGTCAGGATTAATTACTAAAATGGATTACCTCATTAGTTTTATCTGCAGGATATCTGTTGCATGTCACAATGTTAACATTTACTGCAGATACACGACTCACATGACTCAATTTGAATCTGATACTGCCTTGCCATGATGCTGCATTAAGCTCTATTAATACCTTTATTGCTCTATAATATTACCCCCATACATTTCAACCCATGTTTGTGGTATTAGTTCTGACATATTTCATTATCCACTGAGCGGTGTATGCCATTCGTGATGGAATCTGTGTATAATTGATGGCATTATTGACATATTGAATTTTCTTCAATATTTATTTTTTCTATTAGTACTGAATTATCCAATATGGGGTGTAATTTTCATTGTAGGAACTCTGTTGGTTACAATCATGTCTATGAATAATTAACGGCGCCATTGTCATATTGAATTTCCCATATTATTTACTTTTGTTATTAGTTAGTGAATGATCTCATATGGAATGAATTTGTCGTGAAAGACACCATCTGGGTGTAGATCATGTCTGTAAATATTTAATGACACATTGTTGCCATGTTGATGTGAATCTGACCGACCGCAACCTGACCATTATCACAACACATCTCTTCTAACAGCATTGCCCATTGTGAATTTCCTACTTCATCTTGGACATGAGTTACAAATCGCTTCACATAAGGTAATTAAGGTTACAATATGCTGCCCAACGGTGAAACCTGTGCGAAATGCATGCAAGGGCAAGTCAATTGTAAACCTGAACACATGATATAGAAACATGTATTTTATTTGATAGATGCAATATAGTGGGTCATTTGTAGATATTCTGCGTTATTCGTATTAATAAACGTGAAGAAGAAACTATTTTCCAGCCGCACCCATATCACCTGTCTCACCAACACAGCAAACATTCATGCATGCATAGTGCCTTAGACTCTCCTCTACTTCTACTTTATTGTGCGTGCGTGCGAGGTTGTGTTGTGAACAGATTTCCATGTGAATGAATGAGTAAAGTGATAAACTAAGAAATATTCGAGCATTATCTTGAAAGAAGGGGCACAAAAGGGGTTTTACTTCATTCCAATTCCGGTATTGAAGGACATGCTTCCCCTTTTATGAACACCTGGTGTCATGTTTTCAGTGATCCATTCAGGTGATGGTCACGGCTGTGTTGCATTCATACCAGACAGAATTTGTTTCTGAGGATAGTCCAGACCTTGACCACAAGCCTAAATAACTCCCTTTTGTCCATACTAGAAACCATATTAGATTCACGCTATTGACACAGGAGAACATTAAGCAAAAAACTTATGCACATTAATGGGTGGGGCGTCTCATGGGTTTAACGCTTCTCTATTTATATACACATATGATCACGGTGAATGCACCAATATCCTCTTGAACAGTGTCACATCAGTACTGAAATATCGACGTCTATATTTGCCTACACAGCATTTTGAAAAGGATATTCAAACACTTTCTTAGGTCCATGTTAATTACTACGTACTCAGTTTTGGGATGAATTATTCATGATGAGATGAGGTCGCCGAGTGAAAATGTCTCATCCTTACACTTTTGAAAATTTCACTTAGGTATCAGACATGTTGTGGTGAAACACGTAATAGAACTGTAGCCTCTTGAGAAACACATAATGAGTGCAACGGTCTTGTCTGACCAAATACCATGGATTTAACATTGTAAATGTTAATGAACGGATGCACATGTATACAGAACAGACCTCTGTGTGGGGACCATTTTTCAAAACAGGGTTACATCTTATTATGGACTTTCAGTACTGCTTGACGTATATCGCAGAAAACATTGGATGTTCACTTGGATCTGGTTACTTGGATGATTGTGTGACATTGTACTCGTTGTTCATACTTTCAACCCCTGGTTTGACTACAACGTATTCGTATACAACAGGTCTCTATAATTTTGTTAATTACATTTTGGGAGAGGGCTTTTCTAAGTTGGATAACTTGTGCCCAATCCTTTCTTGAATGAATAAAATATGTTTAAACAAACAAAAACAACAATTTTGATTTCGAAATGCTGACTGCATTATTAAGCCACAAACAATACAAGACCACCTTTGAGCCCGTGAATCACGTCCATATGTTTACAGTGATTGTAAGGAATCAGTTGCAGACATATAACTGTTTTGAAACAGCAGGTAGATAAATTATGTAAAAAAGTAAGATTGGGTCCATTTTGTGCCTGACGGCTCTTACAGGTCTTTCCATTTCAACCTGAAAACAACAAGGCTTTGGCTTTGTGTACAACAAAACTGTCAGCAAGGCCAAAGCCAAAGCTTTGCAGATGTGCAAAGGAAAGCTAGTGAATCTTTTCCACAATCATATGATAATCAGAAATAACCACTTAAAGTAAAGTCGACTGTACTATTTCGATCATAATAGTGATGAAATGAGAGGAGGAATATGTCAACAACTCAAAGTGCAAAAGTAGCAATAGGTTTATAACATGTGTTCAAGTGAGCGAATCCAGCTCGACCGGTCACATTATGTTTGTTACTCTTGGGTGCAGCATGATTCTTTGAAAACTTACAAATTACTAATTGAATATTGAAACCCCGATCACAAGACAAAAAGTCTGATGACCCTGTATGAAACCTCTTTCAAAGATGGCTCTTGAACATGGAATATACATATGAGGTACTAATGACAGAATAACAGCCTAAATAAACGCTTTCTCTTAGACACACGAAAACACGTTACAAGAAGATAGCGAAAGGGGAAGGGGTGTTAAAATTAACGCAAAAATGTTCAAATTATTGATAATCTGGTTATCTGAACATGTGAATAATCCGCTGTGTGCATAACCCATTTTCATAACTTAGTTTTATCCTATAAAAACATGGTATTACCTAATTATTAGTATTTTAACTTGGCTCGTTAGTTTAATCCAGCGTTCATAGTTTGAAGGTTTTCAATTCTTCCTTGTCAGTTACGAGTTTTACTATTCCTTCCATCCCCGACCTTATGCTTCTTGTAGAATATTTAAGGCTGGCTGTTTAGTAAGCCGAGACGACTGAAAAAGAAGCCTCCATCGCATTTTTAAAAATCTACATCAAACGAATTCGATCTAACCTATCATGATTCAGAAACAAACACATGCTGAGCCCACACGCTTATAAAACCAGTCACTCCGCCGTTTGAATGCAACCAGGGCTGACTCAAACACAGTCATTAAACTTAGTCAAAAGGCGTGAACCAAGGCGAGAGCTTTGTCTTTAACAACCACGGTGTGAAAAACTGGAGTACACGATAAAAGAAATTTTCCTCTTCACCACTTACGATAGTTCGGGACATATCTAGTGAGATGGTGTTTTGAAAACACACGCTCTTGGGACTGTATAATCTTCTTAGGGGTCCATTCGACAATGAATTATTCAGACTTGAATCCAGAAGTCTGGTGTGCTTCGTTACGAGCGATTTGACCTTGATAGGAGGATCTGCCACCAGGTACCACCTCCGAAACAGGATAATTGTCCAACCTTCATGGTATTTCAATTTAGTTTTAAAATGTAGTTTCATGTATAGATATTCTCTCAAAAGGAATGGTTTCATTTATAATCAATAGGAGACTGTGCCTCTAGGGAAACAAAATAATTGTTTTTGTCAAGTTGTATTTTCTGAGGTTTCTCCTGAGCTTAAAAGTGAATTGGTGGTTTCACATGTGTCATGTTTGGATACGGTAATAACCGCTCAGAAACAATGAAAGTAGTTACTGCAATGGCTGTACAGACTCCACACTAGTCCCTGGAGAAATATTCTGAAAGCTTCCCTTCTTGAAGATGCGTTGTTTCATAAGGCATGTTTACATTGGCAGCGGGTTTCCCTCCATGGTACAAAGGCTGTGCTTGTATTGGCGTCAGATAATCCAACTAGTTCAACTGTAGATT